GGAGAGATGGTTCAGCAATTAAGAGCTCTTGCAGAGAACCAGAGTTTGGTTCTCAGCACCCACATCACTCAGTTGACAACAGCCTATAACTCCAGTCCAGATCTGATGCACTTTTCTGGTTTTTATGGAAACCTGTGCATGCATGTGCACCTATGCATACACACATGCGTGCACACTCACGCACATACACACACACACACACACACACACACACACACACACACACACACACACGGAGGGGGGAGAGAGAGAGAGAGAGATATTTTTTAATGGGGAAAAGACTAGTGCTGGGGATGTAACCAATGGTGAAGTGACTAGCATAGATAAAACCCTGGGTTTGATCACCAGCTCTACAGAGAAATAAAAAGGGGAAACGGGGAAGGTAAGGTAAAATTATCCCAGAACAAAAGTTGTACAGTAGGCATGGAGAAATGTCATCAGCATGAAGGACAATGAGAGATTCTGGGGGAGATTTCCTAGTTAAAGTCATAAATGGAACACATGAAGCCCTGAGAGCAATCCCCAGCACTTGGGAAGAAAAAGGGCAGACTGTCTCATGTGTTTGAATGTTCTGAGACTATGGGATAAATTATCAATACTTGAATGCCAGGTACGTTAGCTTTCATGGAGAAAGAGGCTATAGCTAACTTTATTCCCAAGAAAATGCAATCATGTGCTAATTAGATCAATGATGAATGGTATATATACCTTTATAATAAAATATTTACCTGAATAGTATGATATAGGTATATTAGGACAGAGGACACAGAAGTCATGTTTTAAAAAAGGTTTGAGAGTATAAGTGTGTCTTACTTGCTATAGTATGAAGTAAAATAATAGCCAGGCGGTGGTAGCACATGCCAGCACTTGGGAGGCAGAGGTAAGTGGATCTCTGAGTTTGAAGCCAGCCTGGTCTACAGAGAGAGTTCCAGGACAGCCAGGGATACACAGAGAAACCCTATCTCAGATAGATAGATAATAAATAAAAATGTAAAATAATGAAATAATTCCCCCAAACCAACAAAGTATGAAGTACTAGTACCTAACCTGTAATCCCAGCTACTCAGAGGCTGAGGCAGGAGGATTTCAAATTTAAGGCATATCTGGGCTACAGAGTAAGTTAAGGCCAACCGAGACTATTAGTAGGCCTCATCTCTAAAAGAGGATTGGTAGAGCCCTGCACTAATATGAACAAGACCCTAGGTTCAACCCAACTCCCAGCACCACAAACAACAAAAACCATGCTGTTCAAAAATATGGGGCTAAATCTCAGAGATGACAAAAATATAAAGAGATATGGAGATGAGAAATTGAGTGTAGAGGACTAGAGCAGACCCTGCTGCTCTTCATTATAAGTCTTGTGACACTACATGAATAAAAACTAATGTTGTGTAACTTCTCCTGGGAAACTCTCAGAAACCCCTCTTGACCCCCAGAGAGGACAACCAGCAGAACAAAGAAAACTCAAGTCCAGCTGGCCAACCAGTGAGCCTATGGTGGGGACCCAGAGAAGCATGGGTGACTTTGGGCAGCTGTATCTGAAATTCCTGGTCCCAGTATAGTGACAACTCACAAAAGCTGTCACTGGCGTCCCAACCCAGGTCGTCTTTCTACTACCTATATTCTCCAAGCACTCCACCCCCAAAAACCACATCATCAGGGAGGGAACAGGAGTCTGGCTAGACTCTGTGAGGTCTTCTTGGGAAGGTCGGGAACAGGTAGTCACAGCTCCTCTGATGTGATCATGATTTCAAGATGACAAAGGCTGGGGGACCAGAGAGATGGCTTAGTGGTTAAGAGCACTGGCACCAGTTACAACTGTTGGCTTATTTTAGGAACCCAAGAATCTAGCAGCCATAGTGGCATCAGCAGCTCCAGCGCCAGAAGTGATATTCTGGCCCCGTGATTAATGGTACTGAAGGGCACCAGTCAGTGATGACATGTATGGTAAGGCACACTTGACGTGTTTCACGGAGTGCAGAAAGCCTCGTATTTCAGGAGACTAATAAGGGCAAGCTGACAGGGGCACATGGTAAAGTCATCACTTGGGCTTCCTAATTCTGACTCCAAGTCTGGAGCCGGCTCCTCTAGTCTTCCTAATCATTGCCCACAGAGAATTTTTTAGGCTTTACTAAGAGGTAAGAACTCAGATCTTGTAGAGTACCCTGGCCCTCTTAATCAAGGGGAATGGAGTGGGGGCTTGAGAGGCAGCTCAGTAGAAAAGGATTTGCCTAGCATGTGTGAGATTCTGGGCTCAATCCCTAGCATGGCAAAAGAAATAACAAGGAGAGTAGGAAAACCTACTTACAGGAAATCCAGGAAAAGGGCAGGGCGGAGGACGGGTGCTCACATGAGAATAAACAGAACGGCTCTAAAGTGATCCTGGTCGAGGTCTTTCCTCATCTACCTCAGTTCCCCAGGTTCTGCCATTTGCACTTTGGACATCTCACTCATCTCTCAGCATCAGAAAGAAATCAAACAAGGACTCAAGTAAGTACCTGTTATCCCTGTGACAACTAAAGGAATTTCCTTCTCTCCTCTTTTCTCTTCCCCTGGTCCTCACATTAATGCTTAGATCTCAGTCTCCAGATCCAAGGATACTAAGACAAAGGTTCCTATGCTCAAAGGGCCCACAAGACTTTGGTAGTGGGTGGGAGTACAAAGCCATATATTAAAACACAATTTTACCATAATGAAGTAAGTTAGGAAAGAGATCTGCAAAATCACAGACATGTACACGTTCAAGGAAGGCTTTCTGGCATTAAAGATCCCTGACCTACATGAAAGAGTCATACATGTATAAGCAGCACAGAGCAAGGGAGCTGAGCCTTCCACTTCTATTAAAGTTAGCTGAAATGTACATTTATTTTTGGCAGATACACTTCTTCCAAGCGCTCAGCTATACCTGTACCAGCTTTGCCCCATCACTGTTCTTTTTACCTTAAACTAAATCTCCAGTCTATAGTCAATTACACTCCATTAATGGCTGCCACATTCTGCATTCTAGAACAAAAAATTTCCTAGTAGCCATATTGAGTTTTTAAAGTAAAAATTAATAATTATTTTAATCCAATATATCCAAAATATTTAAATGTTAATCACTATTTAAAATGTTTATCTTATGTGTATGAGTGTTTTGCCAGTAATGTATGAATGTGCACCACAGCACGAAGAGCCACTGGAGAACAGAAAAGAGGAACCAATCCCTCCAGCTGGAGTTACAGAAGGTTGTGAGCTGCCATGGAGGTGCTGGAAACGAAACCTCAGTTCTCTGCGAGAGCAGCAGGTGCTCACAACTGCTGAGTCATCTCTCCAGCTCCAACTTTAATCAGTGTTTTAAAATAAAGGCATTTTTTTTACATTTTTCTCATGCTGACTCTGAAATACAGTATACGATTACAACATAGTTCAGTTTAGATTACTCACACCTCAAATGCTCAGTTGGCACATGTAGTTCTAATATTCTGCCCATACCGAGAGTATTTGGTGCTTCTTCACTAAACAGACGAGGTGGTCCTAACTTGGGGGCTCATGCCTGTAGTCTGCTATTTAGGAGGCTGAGAGAGAAGGATCACTTGAGCCCACAAGTTTGAGACAGCATAGACAAAGAAGAACAAAATAACCCACCAGCCTGAGACACTTGTAGTCCTCTAAGTCTTTGCCACCCCCTCAAACCTTTGAAAAGAATTTTGAAGGAGGCACACAGGAGGGTTCCTATGCTTTATCTCAAGAGTACATATTCCTGCCGGACGGTGGTCGTGCACGCCTTTATCCCAGCACTCAGAGGCAGTTGGATCTTTCTGAGTTCGAGGCCAGCCTGGGCTACAGAGTGAGTTCCAGTACAGGCTCCAAGCTACACAGAGAAACCCTGTCTCGAAAAACCACACACACACACACACACACACACACACACACACACACACACACACACACACACACACACACAGTACATATTCCTTTTAGATGTCAGATCTACAGCTCCAAGCTGATCCAAACTGGCTACTAAATCAGCTTTTAGCAATCAGATCCACCGTGTCTCACCAACAAATTTCATCCTGACAGTCCTGTGATCAGCAGGACACCACTTAGAAGGACTTGAGCTGTCCCCAGTGTGACAGCATCCAGTCCTGCTGATTTCACTCTGGGCTTGTTGCCATTTAAGACTAAAAAGAGCTAAATATTTTTAATGCTATAGCACCTTGCATAGGAGCTCATCTAGCATCAACAAGAATCATACTGCAGAAAAATATTGAGAAAATTCTACCCGGTAGTTAAAACATTTTTACTAACCAGGAAAGGACCTTTTTTTTTTTTAATGGGTATCTTGGGAATAGATTTTGAAATTCATAGAATTCAGTCCCCTCTTATTGAAGGGATTTACTGATGACATTCCAGTAAATCCCTAAAGGTTGTGATGAGCATGCTGCATATATATATATATATATATATATATATATATATATATATATATATATATATATATATATATATATATATAAATTAGAGGCACTGCGTCCTCTCCAAGGTGCTCCTAAGTATCAGCAGAAGAACACAACTCAGAGAGTATGGTCAGCGCTCCCCGAACTGAGGGGGTTTAAATAGGCATTGCCTCACAGGAGCGTAGCGACTGGATGGATTTTCCACCTCCAGTAGTCCTGGGCGAGGGATGCTGCCGGGGCGGTCCATATCTAGGGAAGCCTGACTTAAGCCAGCCCAGCTCCACCGTCTTGGCCCACTTTCCAACCCCAAGCTGCACCAAGGCGGCCAGCCCCTAGTGGAAGCCACACCCACGTGGGCAGCCCACAGCGACCGGGGAGCCCGGCAGGGAGCTGAATCCAGGAGGCGCAGAGCACAGGTTAGTACCGAAGTCCAGGGACTGAGTGAGCTCCGACCCTCCGCCGCCGGGTGGGCTTCGGAGCTCGGGACGCTCGGCCACTCCCGGCCAGGTCTCCACGCCCAGCACCCTCTCGGCCTCGGCAGCTCCCGGGGATGGGGCTCACCGGGCCTGCAGGACTCGGCCCGCGTGGCCTGCTCCCTGGAGCCGCAGGACTCGGCAGCCCTGGCCGGGGCAGCCCCCAGACCGTAGTGCAGCCCCGTGGCAGCGGCCGCGGCAGGCCCGGCGCACCCGGAACCGTTTCCGGGGCGGAGGCTTTCTCGCAGCTGACCCGGCGCGGACGGTGACGCGCAGGCCCAGGCGGAAGTGCGGGCGGAGGATCCCGAGCCGGATCCCGAGCCGGGCGCGGGGCTCGGGGCTCGCTGGGGCGGCTGGCTCCCGCGATGGCAAGCCTATGGTACGGAGGCCTGCTGCGGCTGGGCTCCGGGCTCAGCCTGTCCTGCCTGGCGCTGTCCGTGCTGCTGTTCGCGCAGCTGACAGGCGCCGCCAAGGTGAGTCCCGCCTCGCCCGGCTCCTGACAGGAGCTCCGCCCCTGCCTCTGGCCTGGCTGAAACTGGGGCTGCCCACTAGCTCCCCACTCCCAGGTTCTCCCAATCCGAGAGCCAGATCCCCTGCTTCACAGCCCGGGCCGGCCCTTCCTAGAGCTTCTTAAACCTCAGCCCCTGGCAAGTCCCCGGAGCCGGGTCTGCAACTCCTCCACCTTCCCACCTGACACGTCCCTTCCCAGCCCCGACAGCACACACCCGGAACTTGACGAGCTTCCCAGCCCTGGGAGCTTTGAACTTTCCACCCCTAAACTCTGGCAGCCCACTCCCGCCCTTCACCAGCCCTCAGGCCCCAACTCAAATGATGAGAAACCCTCATCTTCCCGAAGTCTTCCCTACTAAGAACTAGCTCCTCTCAACTCATCCATGAACAGATTTCCTTGCCATGGTGGGGGCTCGCCTCTTGTGGCAACCACCCCTCCCCAGGAGGACCTACAGAGTCATCTCACCAGCTTGATACTCTCACTCAGCCCCCCTCCAGGAACGAACACACACACACACACACACACACACACACACACACACACACACACACACACACCTCCCTCTTCTGATAAGGGAAGAACAGGCCTAGAAGAGAGGGAGATTATATCCTTTCCCCCATGGTGTTTCTTTTTTTTTTTTTTTTTTTTTTTTAAATTTTTCGAGACAGGGTTTCTCTGTGTAGCTTTGCGCCTTTCCTGGAACTCACTTGGTAGCCCAGGCTGGCCTCGAACTCACAGAGATCCGCCTGGCTCTGCCTCCCGAGTGCTGGGATTAAAGGCGTGCGCCACCACCGCCCGGCTCCCCATGGTGTTTCTTAACCGTTCTGGTCCGCTCATGTTGTTATCTGGTGCCCCAGAGCTGCCCTGAGTCAAGAAAACATATGCTCTCTTCCCAATGAGCTAACTCATCATGGGGCAAAATAGAAAGAATTCACTGTGTGGTGGGGAAAGAGTGATACTGCGTTTTTAAAAGAAGAGGTTTATAATATCTAAATATTATAAAGGGCTGGGAAAGACAGGTTACAGGAAGGCAGGTGGTTTTGGTCAGTTTTTTTTTTCAATCTTTCTGATGTTATCAGAAATAGGGACAGCAGAAAGTCTCCCAACTTTTGAAATATGGTTGGCACCCTCTGCATGGATATCATACATCACCATTTTATGTAGTGTATCATGATATGCATAATACATGTATTTGTCTATCTCACTCTTGCTTATCTGAGTCGCCCTCATTGAACACTGGGTCTGGCACAGTGGTTGCTGAATACATTTAGGAGCTGTCAACAGCTCTGCCAGACATTGCTCTGTACATAGGAGCAGTGGACAGGTCTCTCTGGGGACTAATGAGCCATTGCCATCTCAAATAAACAGCCCTTTGCTGAGGAAGCATCTCTTGGATCTATCCAGCATTTAATGACTGCTTCCTCTGCTTGGTGAAACTCGTTTTGCTGGGAGTTGTCCTCCCAGTTTCCTGGGGGGACGGAGGTTAGCAAGATTCGGCAAGATTCAAGCTACTTCCCCTTTCACTGCCCTCCTGGCACTGGCTGAGTGTCTCTGGGTCTTCATCCTGTCTGTAGCCAACATAGCCTTTTTAGCCATGCTCGGTGCCTTTCTCCCCAAAGGAAAAAAAGTTAGAGAAAATGAAATTAGAAGAATTCTGGCTTCCCCCACTTTTGTTGCATTGCAGGTTGAACTGGCCTTATGCATGCTGCACATGCTTTAGCTCTGAGCTGCATCCACCCCCAGCCTAGAACTGGGACTTGCTTATGAATAATTTTGAATTGGATTCTCCCCCGTCCTTTCATGCCAGCATTTCTCTTTGTAGGCCTCATTATCTGTCACTGACATGTCTTTCTGGTGGCAGGTAGATGATGACACAACTTGATTGTCATGGGTTCATAAAGTGGGTTTAATAAATCACAGGTCAGGGCTTGTGGGCTTTAGGAACTTGTGTCTCTCAAAACTAAATCTTTATGATGGTTTTAGAACACCTGACAAGATACTCAGCAAAGTGGATGTGTCCAGATTTTTTTTAATTATTGATGCTAATATGACCAAGTTATGATGCTTTCATTTTCATTACAGAATTTTGAAGATGTGAGGTGTAAATGTATCTGCCCTCCCTATAAAGAGAATCCTGGACATATTTATAATAAGAACATATCTCAGAAAGATTGGTAAGTATTATGGGTCAAGAAATCACCTGTCACATTTCTTTCTGTGGTTCTTACAGTTAACTCAATATTCATACAATGTCTCGTTTAGTTTTTTTAGCAAAAGTGTTAAATTCTCTATCTGGAAAAAATGAGATTTGAGTCCTGAGTGCATGATATGAATCTAAAGGAATACTGTAGCCCAAACAGAAAGCTCTAGGCTGGGAGGTTTCATATGGAGATGAGACTGAGTTTATTGTGCCTACACTACCAAGGTCTCTTGTGCCCTCTTAAACTTTGGTCAAGGATCTCTTACTTCTCAGTGAAAGATAAGTTGAGCCTCCTTTATCTGATATATAATTTTTAAGCACTTTAAAAAATTTTGTATATGTTCATACATACATGTGTGAGTGTCTTTGGAGACCATAAGGGGATATTGAATTCCCTGGAGCTAGTGTTACAGGTTCTTGTAAGATGACCAACTTGGGTGCTGGGAACCGAACTGGAGTCCTCTGCATAGTAGCCAGCACTCTTAACTACCAAGCCCTCTCTCTAGCTCCTGGCTTATAATTTTTACAATTCATACATTTTTTTTTCTGGGAGTGGGGGGTTGTTTTGGTTTGGAATTTGCTTTTGTTTTTTGTTTTGAGACAGGATCTTACTATGCAGCCCAGATCAGCCTGGCACTTGTTTCGTCAGCAGGCTGGCTTCAGGCTCTTGATTGTCTTGCCTCTACTTCCCAGGCTACGATTTTAAGTTTTGATGATATATTGTGAACTATTGGAGACTATATTTAAAAGTTTCAGAGATTGGGGCATGAATGAGAATGAAGTATGTGTGTTAGAATTTCTCCTTTGGTATGTGTCAGTGGGTTCGGAGAATGTTGAGACTGTGATCCTTCAGCCCTTAGGCAGCCAGGCAGGCCTATGACTGGAATCCTGATTGACTAGTTGACTACCAGCAGCTTTCTCAGTTTATCCCAGTGGGCCTTAAAGAATGACAGATTGCTCTTATGTGCCTGAAACAAGAAGTGGCCAGGTTATACAGCAGGACGGATGTCCTTCCCCCAGTGGGACTGCAATGTCACACCACAGTGGAAAGTGATGGGGAGAAGTGCCAAATAAGGGGTGCTTCGGCCTGTGCCTGAGTTCACAGCTCTGTAGTGAGCAGCGATCTGAAAGCAAGATTAAATCTGCTCTGTCTGCCGGGCGGTGGTGGCGCACGCCTTTAATCCCAGCACTCGGGAGGCAGAGCCAGGCGGATCTCTGTGAGTTCGAGGCCAGCCTGGGCTACAGAGTGAGTTTCAGGACAGACTCCAAAGGTACACAGGGAAACCCTGTCTCGAAAAACCAAAAAAACAAAAAGTTTGTTCTCTTTGACTTTGAGCACACTTAGTCTCTCTGGTGCCATTGTTTATTCTTCCCACAATACGCATTTAGGTTTAGTGTGTTCTTGTGATCCTGTGAAGGTCTGGGTTCCACTTTAAGAGGTCTCTATGTTACAAAATGATTGGGTTTGGGTTTTTGGTTGTTGTTATTGTTTTTGTTGTTGTTGTTGTTTTTGGAGACAGGGGTTTTTTTTGTGTAACAGCCCTGGCTGTCTTGGAAGTTGATTTGTAGACCAAACTGGTCTCAAACTCATAGAGATCTGCCTGCCTCTGCCTCCTGAGTGCTGGGATTAAAGGCATGTATCACCATACCGGGCTAATGATTGGGGTATATATATATATTTTTTTTTTTTTGGTTTTTCGAGACAGGGTCTCTCTGTGTAGCTTTGCGCCTCTCCTGGAACTCACTTGGTAGCCCAGGCTGGCCTCGAACTCACAGAGATCCGCCTGGCTCTGCCTCCCGAGTGCTGGGATTAAAGGCGTGTGCCACCACCGCCCGGCAAGGGGTATATTTTTAAAGGCTTTGTACCAGCAGGTTACTTTATATGATACATGGAAGCTCAAATTCTTTTTGTACTGGAGATAATATCCGAGGCCTTGTAAGTTCTGGGCAAACATTCCCCCACTGGACAGTATCCCCAGTCCTCAAATACATCTTTAAGTTACTTCTATAATTTCCCCAAAGCTGTTGAACATGTGTATAATCAGTTTGTTTTCTTTTTTCTTTTTTTTATTTTTCAAGACAGGATTTCTCTGTGTAGCTTTGCGCCTTTTCCTGGAACTCACTTGGTAGCCCAGGCTGGCCTCGAACTCACAGAGATCCACCTGGCTCTCAGTTTGTTTTCTTATCGGTAACAGATGTGATGTATATTAGTGGAGTAGCAACTGAACTCACTTTTCAAGTGTTTAACACTAATTTTTGTTGTTGTTAACTTTTTATTATTCTATGATGAGACAGGGCCATGTCTTCATCCCTGGCCATAAATTAAAATTAGGAGCTTTGAAAATAAATAGTTGAGGAGCTGGAGAGATGGCTCAGCGGTTAAGAGCACTAGCTGCTCTTCCAGAGGACCTGGGTTCAGTTCCCAGCACCCACATGGCAGCTCACAGCTGTCTGTAACTCTGGTTCTAGGGATACAACACCCTCACGCAGGCATATGTGCAGGCAAAACACCAATGCACCTGAAATAAAAATA